TCGTATGCTTGGGTACTGCAATTTTGACCATCACTTATAACTTCGTAAGATACCTCCATAGCAGGGTGGTAGACATCTTCGGGCAAAACTAGTGGATCACACTTATTTACAACGGACTTAGATGCATCATCAACATAAACAAGATCTAATACTTTACCAAACTTATTGTGAAGTACATTAACCTGAGTTAGGCAGAGTTCAGACATCTCCTCTAAAAATACGTTGTTGCACGCACTAGACGCGAAAGGTATGATATCATTGTCAATGATGTTCCATGATATGCTTGGTAAATTAAAATCACCCAACACAATCATTGAATCAGAGGGTTTAGTCAGTAAATGAACAAATTTCAGTAAAGAGATGAGTCGTGAATACACCAATGTGTCAGATCGGGGAGGGATATAGCATAGAGCTAAGTAAATAGACCATTTCCAGCCTGTACACGAATGCATTTGAACTCTACTGAATCAATGTGTGGAAGACTAACTTCTTCAGATGGTATTGAAGAGTCTACAGCGAAGAGTACGCCGCCGCCTTCTGTCCTGTAAAAAAATGTGTCCGTGGCAACACTGAGTGTCACAAACGGTATGTGAAAAATGAGGTACAGCTTTATGCTACAACAAGCAGAACAATTGCTATAAATTATTTCATACATGGTAATGTGCATGAACGAAAGACACAAGATCACGCGGGACGGAAAGAACGAAAAAAGTTATTTTCTAGCTGCCGAAATCTCGACGCCATCTTTGCTGTAAGAAGTAAACAACGAAGAGAACGGAGAAAACCGCGAAATTGTTGAACGCATGAAAAATCATTTTTATTATGCAAATTCTTCTAAAAATCATGCCGTTGTGTTAAATTATTCTTTATCTTATGTGTACACACGTTGTCACAAGCGAAAATGAAGAAAATTGCAGTAAAAAGCCACCACCAAATTGTAAACAACGAAGAAATGTAAATAAACGGCTAATGTCAAAATCGTTCAACTTTTTTCCTTAATGCGATTCTAACGGGCTAGTCTCCTGCCCGCGTGATCTTGTCTTTTTGGTTCATGGTAATGTGTTTGTTTTTTTTTTTTCTTGAGAAGTTGTCACATATTGTGACGTACTTGTCACACTGCTTTTTGGCTGTTTCATGCCCCAAATAAAAGAAAAATCTTGAAAACTAAAAGATACGTGTTTGATTTCTTACTAAAATATATTAGAATCCGGATGATTTTACTTTCTTTATTTAGTTGAGTTATAAAGGGTTAATTAATTATTTGGCAAAGAATACTGAAGCAGTGTTGCCGTTTCAGCCCTTTGGTGGCTAGATTTAGCTACCACATTCTTTTTTTGGCCACATCAATTTAAAATTGCCCCTAGCCCTTTTCTTGGCCCTTCTAAGAAAGACTGACATAGTATATGTATTGTATATTCCTTACGTTTTTATACATACATACTGTAGGCTGTTTTTTTAACTTATCTATTAACGATTTAACTATAGTTTAAAATAGAGAAGTTTACCGCCCTTAGGGCCAGTTTTTCAGTGCCAGTTTAAACTCAGATTAAGTAAACTGGGTTTAAATTGAACAGCTGGCTGACACTTGAATGGCTGATCTTAGTTTAAACCAGCCAGATCGGGCGTTTACACTTAGTTTGAACCACGGCCGTGCACTGAAAAACTGGCCCCTAATATGCTTCATTAGTTAAATGGCCCATCAAGTCGATTGACCGTGTATGTTCTTGTGGTGTGATTGTACCAGCTGCTGGTGCGACTTCAAAAGCTATTTGAAAATTTTATGATTGTAACAGCGTGCTGGTGTCGTGAGCAGCGTTGCCGCTTTGGTAATTTTTAACCAAAAATGGTAACTTTTTTCTTTGTTTATTAAATTTGGTAATTTGGTAATTTATTTTTCAATTTGGTAACTTTTTCGATTCGGTCCTACATGTCACATAGCGTTAGCGTTTCCTTTTATACAAATAACGAATAATTCTGAAAGTTTCGTAAGGCGAAAAGTTGGTCCAGCGTTCCTTGGTTCTAGAATAGTATGATCTCTAAAAACTGCTTGAAAGTGGCTGTTACTATATCTACCGAGCCCTATCCTGGAAGTTGTGGGTGGTCCTACCTTTCCTTGTCAGTTCATCAGCTTTGCATTTGCCATCAATATTCCCGTGTACTCCGGCAACCGTTTGAGTAAAGTTCTATGTAAATATGTACAAGTCGTTGATGTTTTTTCAAAACCGTTCATCGACCAGTTGCAAAACCCCTTAATATGCCGTTTTGCAAAAATGCCATTTGGTAACCCTGAACTCCAGGCATCGAGATTTATGCATACAAATTTTAAAATCGTTATTAAAACAACAGATTTGTAAAATAATAGCTAGAGAAAATTTTGCCTATCAAGGCAATGCCTTCAAAGAAAAACCGCTTTTACGCTCTCGTGCAAAATTTGAGTGCCACAAGATAGGCGGTTTTGCAATTGGTCGATTGGCGGTTTTTTAAAAAAATCGACGATATGTTCTCGCTCAAAGAGCTACGGTAATCAGCAGGGCACTTTACGTGAGTCGAAACCTTTCAGAACTGCCTTGAACCATTGAATTTTTGAGATATTTTCCGTCATTTGTTGACATATGTCTGTATGTTGGTCATAACTGGACAAACGTTGATTTTAAACTTTAAAAAAATTTTAAGGTTTAAGTATTCGCATAAACACGGCCATCCGAGTAGCCTCATAAAAAAGTCCAATGAGGCCAAGTCGGATGATCTCAGTGGCCAGAAGAAATCCCCTCTACGGGAAATTATGTGCCTGATATTCCTCTGTTGCAATGAACCGTATCCATGACAATGTCAGTTATCATATGCCTTCCGTTGTTTTGTGGTCTGAGCTTTGTATGGATGAAGATGTATATCCAATAACTACATATAACATATAACTACACGCAATCGACAAATTTGTTTCTTCGGCCACACTAACAAGCATTTCTAGAGTTGTAGCTTTCAGCGCCCACGCAGATGTAAAAATTATAGCTTAATGGAGCGCGGATTGCCTGGAAAGCTTCTTGTCTTCAGATATATGTACAAACACATGTATGTATACTTCAACACATAAAATAAGTTTGGTAATTTTTTGTTGAATTTGGTAACTTTTTCTCGTGATTTTGGTAAAAAATAAAAAAAATCTTGTGGCAACACTGGTCGTGAGTGGTGAAATTAGCTAAATTTTCTAAGTAAAAAATATTTTGGCGGAAATTTCAAAGCCGTGTTTGTGGAATATTAAGTTCACGATATTGCAGTTGTGAATTAAAAAAAAAAACAATGTTTAACAAAATGGTAGAAAAATTATGAAATTTCGGCTCAAATCATTTCGATCTTTCCTCGACCTCATTTGTAAAGAAATAAATATTGTACCAGCATGCTGGTAAGTTATATGCTTCGAGCTTGACGGTACAATCAGTTGATTGATCCAGCAAGCTGGTGTCGTATATTTCCCCTTTTTTACGAAAAGGTTTTTGGTGTGTATATATGATTATGTAAGTAAACAATTTTAGCTACCATTTTTAGCCACAACGACTTGTTTAGCTCTTTTTTAGCCCTTTTTTTTAAAGGAATTTGGCTACACTAAAAATGGTTCGCGGCAACACTGGACTGAAGTCGTTCAATGCAGTTGAATATTTGTGGCAACGTTTCGAAAATCTCTTCCGAAAATCGTAAATGGCAAGCATGGTTGCCACTCGCCAACATTTTTTTCTACCAAAATTTCTTAAGAAAAGTTACCAGAAGTTACCAAATCTTCACTAACAAAATCTTCACTTCTTCAGTGAAAAAAAATATATACTGAATAACACTGCTATATTTCATAACCAATATGTATATGGGCAAATCTAAAAAACAGGTAACCTTGGTGTTATTTAGCTTAATTTTCACTGTTGGAAACTATATCAAGCTGGTTGCTTTTGGATATAATTCATTGACGTATACTTGAAGCCTCAACAAAAATTTGGATCAATTTGCGTCATAACTTTGGAATTATAGGTGTTTAAATTAAAAAAAAAAACAGTGAAAACAAGTGAATTTTTTATGTAATTTTTAAGAGCGGCAAAATTAATTATGTCATAACTTTTGAAGCACACCATATTCTGATTTGAAATTTAATGGGAATTTAGCACTTATGTGTAGATTTTATATGTAGTAGATAAGAAAAGTGTGCATTAAAAAATGACGAAATGGCAAGTAACTCAAAGTCTGTAACTCCACATTTCACAATTTTCTAAATTTTCGGTTTATCGCGCATAGTTTTTGAAGCATTTAATTCTAATAACTTTTTTATGTATGTATTGTATTCTACAAACAATTGCGAACAATTTGATACCTGAGCAAGAGCTGTGCTTTCAGAATAAACCAACTTTTAAAGATAAAATATTCTGCAATCTTGAGCGTAATTTTGATTCCAAAAATATCTTAATTGGAAAATAAGTCGAAACGATCTAAATATTTGTATAACTACTAGTCCTTATATAGTTGCATATACCTGTAAAATGCTTCAAAAAAATGTTCTCTAGAAGTGTGTAAAAACCTTGATTGAGTACTTTTAATTATGCTCCTTCTTGTAGTCAGAATATTTCGAGCGTGGTATCAAATCAATTTTTTTCGACAAAGGTTCTGATAGTTGGTCCTACTTAATTGGAGCCTTTTAAATTCAAAAAAAATATTTCCTTCACTATGTCATAAAATCAACTGATTGTCCAAAGACGTTGTTTTGCTATATAACTCCTCCAATTAAGCAGGTAAAAATTTGGTATAGGTTCACTTTAACATATAGCACGCATACAGTTTATTATTCAGGTATGAAGTTAGAGTTATAGCGCAAAAACACATATCTGAGTAATCAGATGTATTGGAGCTATACTTTAAAGTGCACCGATTTCGATATGTGTAAAATTTTAGTAAAATAACTTCAAAACTAAGGGAGTTATTTATAAAATAGCTAAACCTTAATCAAATTTTCAAATACAGTTATCTCGAAAACCGGAGCCAATCTGGTAAAACGGGGGATGCCATTCAATTTAGAACGTCCCAATTAAGTGAGTTCAACTTTCAAAATCTTTGCTCAAAGTTTACAAATCGAACGACGTAATTTGAACCCAGCTTATTCTTTTGTTTTCTATTTCATGTTTATTCCTCGTCTAATTTTTGAAGCACTTGATAAAAATGAATTACTTTTTTGTTAATCGATTTATTAAGAGAATACGAATAAAATGATATATAAAACATAGGCGTGCTCACAAATTTAAAAATTAAATTTTTTGTTTGGAGAGTGTACCTATTTTTTAGATTTGCCCATATACTTACAGCCCGGTTCTGTGCACTTAATAAATTCAATATTTTTATAATTTGTCAATTTTTGATTATTTATCAAGAGCTCCCAGTTCTAGCACAGAAGTTTAAATCTATTTTCTTGATAAATTATCAAGATTGAAAATGCTATTGACAATTATAATATTTTTTTTTATTAGAAAATATTTTTCTATCAATTAATTACTGCATGTGCCTTTATGCTCATTTTCGTTGTTGGTGTTTCCGACAGGTAGGAGTATGATGTAATCCATCATCCCTTGTCAAATTTGGTTTGGAGACAAACCGGTTTCGGCGTTGTGCCATTTTCAGTGTAATTTTTCGTTCGGAATGTGCCGATACTTGGACCTGCGACTCACGGAATAATAGCACCGGCACACAAAAAAAGTGGCGGGTGCCTTTAACCATTCGTTTGACTCGTACAAAATTTCGAGTAAATTGCGAAAATTGCTCATTTTTTTGCTATTTTTTCGGTTTTTCATACTCTACTATACGTCGAAATATATGTCGGTAGGTGTCGAAATACATGTCGGTAGATGGGTCTGGTAAAAAGCACGCGACATTTTTTTTGCCGGAATAATCAAAACAATTTATGGACCTTACCAAAAATTGCCAGATGGCCAGTATTAATATGTGAGACGGTAGAATTTAATATTTATCGCAGCCCTTGGTGCTGCCATTGTAAATATTTCCAGTATTCGAATATGAGATGACTAATTTAATCGAAGTAATTTTGTAAAAGTGTCAATAGTGCTGCCACTGAAACTCGAAGGGTTTTTATAATTACGCACATTCAAAACATAAATCATTTCTTTCTAGTAATGCAAATAGATGTTTAGTTGCAAAAGTTACCAAAATGAAATAAAAGTTACCAAGTTACCAAACCGTTTAAAAGTTACCAATTTTGGTAGAAAGTTACCAATTGTGGCAACCATGATGGCAAGCATAGACAATTTTGTAGACTTCATTTTAAGCAACTCTTAAATGTTTGAAGAGCAGTAAAAACTTCTCTTTATACATAAGAGAATTTCCCCATACTAACTAATCTTCTACATACGTATGTATGTATGAACATGTATGTATATTTGTTAGCTTGAACCAAATCGTTTAGGTGTGTTATGTATCTATGCGTTGGTATACAACTTCTTCTGTGTAGAGATGAAAGTGCGTTGGTTGCAGCAGCTTTGTTTACCACATTTCTCTATTCATGAATTGTTTTCCACCATGCACCAGATATCAACGTTGTATTATGCAAAATTTGTGGTTAGTTCGTGTTTAGCCCTTATTCGGTGTCGACGTTTTGACTTGTTTCGTGTGTGCGGATTGTGTGAATAAAAATACATAATAAAAAATGTATGTGGATATACATAAAAATACATACACATACTTCTCTTTTGGATAAAGCGGATGTGTGTGGGCATTTTAATTGCAGTTTGCACGCCATCTCAGCGTTTGGACAAACTATTTGTTACATCCATAAATAGTTATACATATCTACGTATGTGTGCATATACTATAAGTACATATGAATGAATGTATGGGTACGTGTGCATTAACATGTATGTATGTATGTACATCATTCAACGGGCAACGCCAACATAAAATTTACAGTTTCAAAGGTGGCGTATAGAAAGAGTGGCAATCCTGCGACACTAGTTGCAAAGAAAATCAAGGATGATTGTCGTATGTATTCATAATTACAGATGGATAAGCGTCGATAAGAATCCAGTTCCATAGATATGTTATGGAATTTCGAGTACTGGAATACATAATTACTTATGTATTATGTACATAGATACATATGAATGTATTTTCGTTCATATCTTAAAATATGTACACTAAAGCTAACTGTCTACCTACAATGAGAAATTAACTCATTCCAATAAACTGAAAAAAAAAAAATCATCTTTAAATATATATACATAGCATGCCAACATAAAAATTAGTCCCTTTCATTAATTTAATTATGCAAACACAATTATTAAGTGAAACAGTGTTATTTAACGTGGAAATAACTTAAACTGATCACCTAATAGCCCCTCGGTATTCGAATGCTAATTATGTGTATGAAATGTTTGTCTCTGAATTCCTTGTTTCAATGTGTGCACAAAATTTGTTGCGTAAAAGCAGTATCCCAAAAGAAAAGCGCACCACTGGATAAATTTGTTAGCACATAATGTAAAGAAAAAAAAATTAGCAATAGAAAAATTACTGAATGAATATACGCAACGGAAGTGAAAATCTTAAGTTATCATAGTGCGTCAATGGTGATACCAATTACAAATTGAATACAATATAGTAATCAAATTATAAAAAATACACAATGTTATTCCGATTACTACCCGCAAAACGGAGAGACAGCAAGACTGAAAATTCATTCACGAGAGGATGCGGAGAAGACGCCAACAGCAAATGGCGACTTTGGAGCCCGCTCCGTGCGTTTAGTTGGCAACAATATCGAAGAACTTGTCTTACGAATTGTCGTGTTGTGGCTAATGGTGAGTTTTTTCGCACATACATATCTACATATGTATATTTTATAATTGCAGAAAGATAAAAAGTTTCATTCATTTCGCTGTGCATCTCGTTCTGCGCTTCTTACCATTTCTTCATTTGTTCTACATATGTACATAGTGCGTATGTAGATATGTGTATATGTTTATACATTCATATAATCATACATACGTTTGCATATACGTATGTATGTGTAGACATATACATACACACACATAAATACATAGATGTATATCCGGCGAAGAAAATTTTCTGATGCACCTGTGCTTTGACAAAAATGGCGTGCAGGTTCTTTTTATTTGTTATCCATGCACAACCAGCTGCTACTGGGTATACACGTACACAAGCGTATGTTTATATATACATACGTACGTACATACATATGTATATATTTACCCAGCAAAAAAGTACGATTACCACAGAAATTAAACTGCAATCGAATTAGGCGATGGTAATCGCTTACCCTTTCGCTTCAAGAAGGCATGGCATGTCATTGGCCGTAAGCCCCTACTCGCAGCATTACCTACCTTCGAACGAAGGGAGAACGCATGTATAAACAGAATCCATAGAAGCGAACAAAGAATTCCCTGCAGATAAACTAATATAGAATGCCTAGATAAGTACATACTTATGTATAGGGCTCGGAATCTAATGCACTAGAAAATCGAGAATATGCGCATATAATATGCACTCAAAAGTCAGAAAGATGCGCCACAAAGAAGTAAAGTATGCAATTAAAAACATTTTCCTAATATTTTATTGCTGACACAAAAATAAATAACACATGTTAATATTTTAACAAGAAAATAACGAAAACAACCCAGCCAGTAAAATATCCGAAAACGTATCCGAAAATGGAAACAATTTCGTATAAAAACCTGATGTTTCATCCGTTTTCCGATTCCGTTTTCGGACTTTTTTCAGATCAGTTCTCCCACTAAAGTGTTCATCCGAAATGTATCTGCAGAAAACAATCGAAAATGGTTGTAAAACGGATGCGCTTTTGGCTGTTTTCCTGAAATTTGTCTGATCCAATTTTTCGTTGAAAACGATTTCATTATGAACTTCACAGAAACTTCTTCATAGTTACAGGAAACCAAACAAAAAACATATTTAAGATTCAGTTTAAACAAATATTTTAAAATTATTGTTTTGAAATAGGATGATGACATTTTTCGGATACGAAAAATGAACAAATATGAAAATCGTTTTCTGAACATTTCCGGAAACGAAAAATGTACGAAAACTGCACTTTCGGCAAAAAGTACGTTTCTCTGCTGGCTGGGAATTCACCTCAAAATACAATACATATTTATGGATAAAATTAGTGTATAATCAAACAGCCAGACAGGCTAACCTAATATTCGCGGCTTGCGTTTTGGTACGCATGCCGTCGAATTTGTTTTTTTGCGTCACCCGAAATTGACTTGCATGCGTTTGCATTTGATTTCATTGAGCGAAACATCAAATCAAAATGTCACGCAGAACAAAAATTGGAAATTGAGTTAGCTTCATACGCACGCCGTTCAATTTCGGTTGATCTCATACAAGTTGCATGTGCATGAGAAATTTTTGACAATAAATTGGNACCTACACCCATTTCGCGGCTTTAATGAATTTCGGTACGTCATACAGAGAGAGCCAGATTCACTCTAAACCATTCTGTAGGAATGGCTGCCTCATACTTGCAAAGGCTGGACACTCGCACAGGATGTGTTCGACTGTCTCTTTTGAGCCAGAGTCAACGTACCTACTACACCAACGAACCAGTGCCCTGTGCACACTGCAGTAAGTTAGTAGGTATCTTATTTGCTCATTCCTAAGGGAGCTTTGGTCTAAGTGGGTCGTAGGACACCCAGAATTGCCGGGTAATCCTGTACGGTTCCACCTATGCTTACAGGCTGACCTAATATTCGCGGCTTGCGTTTTGGTACGCACGCAGTCGAATTTGTTTTTTTTTGCGTCAACCGAAAATGGCTTGCGTGCGTTTGCATTTGATTTCATTGAGCGAAACGTCAAATCAAAATGTCACGCAGAACAAAAATTGGAAATTGAGTTAGCTTCATACGCACGCCGTTCAATTTCGGTTGGTCTCATAACAGCAAATTGGCGGCGTGCGTGAATATTAGGTTAGCCTGTTAGCCTTCGAGTGATAAATTTCGGTAGTTGTTGCTTTTATCTCCCTGAGCCAAGCGCCTATGTCCACCGCGTGGGACACCTTCAGTGCCGAGCCGCACCGTGTAAGTTCGTTCGCTGCCACGTTTCCGTAAATGTCCCTATGTGCCAGGAACCATATTAGGGTAATTTCGTATTGATCAGTGATATAGGCCAGCTCTCTCCTACAGTCGTCCACTAGTTGAGATCTAACAGAGGTAGAAGAGAGAAGATCAATGGCCGCTTGGCTAACCAAGAAGATATTCAGATGAATATTTAAGAAAAAATTATATGGATTTTTTTGGCAAGAGATTTCGCACTAAATTTAAATGATTGTAAATCATAAAAAGCAAATATATGCAAAAACCACATGCACTTATTGTAAAATATACCAAAATATGCTCAATACTTAAATATGCAATAACAGGTATTTTTTTTTTCAAAATATGCAAAATCATGCATTTACTGCGAAATATGCAAAAATATGCAGCAACGATTGAATGCCATTTTAAATGAAATTCCAAGACTCGTAAAGATAACATAACATAACATGCCCAATAAAAACAAGAGATTCCGAACCCTACTTATGTATATTAAATTGAAAACAGACAGCACGGATTGTCTTAAAAGATTAAAATTAATTAAAATTTTTATAAATCAGTTTTTATACATACATATGTTTGTATTTTGATCTTACCTATAAGGCGGTATGTACATACATACATATTTAAATAAACTTAAAATTTTACTTCCTCACTTATGTACTTTACTTTATTGACCAAACATGATTTATATGCGTTGGAATTTTCCACAGAAAGTAACGGTAGAAAAGAATTAAAGAACATTCTACTTTGCATTACAGACAATGCCTAAAATATGCGAAAAAATTTTAAGACATTATAAGCCAATGCGTTCTGAAACACGTTACCACTAAAGGTGATAAAGGTGGATTCACCGTTCGTGTCCGGACACTTTTTGTTAGTAATTTTACGCGTTCCTTTCCTACTTTGTCTCACTGAAAGCGGGACAAAAATGTGCTGAACACTCTTTTTTCGAATCAAACTGATTTTGGTTTTCTGTCCGAACGAATTGATGATTCGAGTTGCCGCGTTCTCCTTTATATGGGTTTGCTGCGAATTACATGTCTTATTTGCCTTCAAATCGTATGTAGGTAACAATATCATCAGCTGTTTGCTTCAGAACAAAGTAAAATGTGCTGAAATGAATGGTGAACGTTACTTCAGCACCCTCTCCGACAAGCAAATAAAAAGTTGTCCGGACACGAACGGTGAACCCGCCTTTGCCGATTTTTTGCTGGGTATGCACATACCTGCACAGATAGACATTTACCCGGCAGAAAATCTAACTAGCTCAGAACTAGCGTAGAACTAGACCTTTTGCCGACAGTACTAGTTCTAGCTAAATGCTAGCAATGCTGAAATGCTTTCAACTGTCCAGTTTTTCGCGTCGATGTCATTGGGGGTGACAATTGTCGCCCAGTGCATTACTTTGCAACTAGTTTTTAACCGGTTCCCTTTTGGAAAATATGTTTAAGGAAAACGTTTTTAAGATTAGATTTTTGGATGTTTTTTCGTTTGTTATTTTCTGTTACAGATTCAATTTTTGTACATATTTTATTAAAAAAAAACACAATATTGCTTGCATGCAAAAATTTAAATTCATTAAATTTGAAAACTCACAGCTGCCTCCACCGCGATTTATACCTGCGACCAACGATGCTTGAGTCAGACGTCTTCTCTCTGAGCCACTTTCGTATTGTATGAGTAGTGAGCATTTGCACATTTACTCCGCAAGTTTCAACTATCCTGCTCTGCATCCGTTTTGCACTAGTTCAGAGATAGTTCGGATCTAGCGCTTTGTCAGACTGTCTCTAAATTTTACTGCAGGGTATGTATGAGCCGTCACACAAATGCATATGAATATCTACATACGTACACACATACGTATATGAAGTCTTAAGACCATAGCATGCGAATGGAGTAACAAGTGTACTGTGGATTACTTACAGATATACATATACTATGTGCATATATGGCTTGGAACTGGTTTTAAACTTGATTGATTGCATCTTTCTTAAGCTAATTTAGGAAATTAACATTTTAGATCTACATACACGTGTATGTATGTATGTACATTGTATATGTACATGTGTAAATATGTACATACATAAGTACATATGTAAGTATATACATATGGTCCAAAGCGCAGAAAACGAGACCCCGGCAAAACGTATGTTTTTAATTTCGCATGCTTTTGATTACGGCCAGAATGAATTTTGACGCAAAATTCATTTATTACTTCAGAAATTATACCTAATTCGTAGTTTTATTTTGATAGCTAAAAATTTATAAGTACATACATAAATACTTACATTACGAAACTTAAAAATTTCAACTGTATACCCTGCAAACCAAAGTTCCCGAAATCTTAACGAAATCTTTAGGAGTATCTCATCTCTGTAACGATTTTTTTACGAATCTTCAAAGAAAATTATATGAAGTGGTTGACACGAATCGTAAAGAAATTTCTCTACGAAAAATAAAGAAAATGCTGAAAAACTACTGCAAGAAATTCTTCAGATAGCAGCATTATATTCATTTCTTTACCGATTTTTTTCCGAAATTTCGTAAAAGAATCAAAGTGTGCACAGTTTATTTCATTTTAGAAAATTCGGCAAAAAATTGGATAAGATCTTTACCTTAAAATTTCTCTACAATTTAGAATACTCTGAAAAAATGGTTTGCAGGGTATCTATTTTTGCATCATTACACCACAGAAAATAATTTCAGGTTAGGTTAGAATTAAAAATGTTATAGAAGAAGCATAAAAAGTAATTAAAATTTTTTTTTAAGACAAGCTTTTATTAGTGGTTAATAAACAACAAAAAAAGAGGATCAATCCAGCGCCTTCGTCTTGACCTGCAGGCTGTGTCTGAGTCACAGCCGCTAAACTTAAACGTAGAACACGTGATGTTATTAGGATCACACTCAAGTTAAAACGGTACATGAAATATTCGTTTTGATTATATTGAATTGAATTTATTAAATCAATATGAATTGCAAAATATTAATACTTAGCAATAGAGAAGCAGGTCCACATGAACTTCAATCATATGTACTATCAGCTTATAAATAGATATATGCCATGACGTGTATCATTATTTCGATTAATTTTTATTTCCTTTCATACTGCAGAAATTTGTATTACTTTTTATATTAGCCTAAGTCCCGGTATTAGTATTCTTCTTCGAGTTCGTGCTCGTCTTCGCATTATCTTCGTCTTCGGATTTGAGCTTAAGTTAGCTAAGACTTCTGAAACAGCTGCCCACTCTCGTAAATATAGTTAAGAAATAAATAAATCTCTAGCGTCTGATATTGTGACACCTACATAAATATTTCATGTGCCTGATGAATTAAGTCAAATTTGATTTTTTAAATACGTGACAACGCTCCTAAATACAGTTCAGAAATAAAGCCTTTTTAAACCAATTTCATTTGCTGCCCATATTTTTAATAACCGCTTTAGCTTATTAAATAATTTGAGTTAACGTTTTTACCTCTTTAATAATCTAAATATTTAAACTAAGGATATCTTACCACCTTCGTTTCATGTAGCACTTTAATATTTCATTTAACTCATGCACACTTTATTTAAATTCTAATTTTGAAACAGGTAGAAACCCTATTCAAAATATTTTCAAACCACAACGTCTTTCGTCTGACATCTATATCAGGATATACATTTAAATTTTCTGCCTCTATTTAAGTCGAACTTGCTTTTTGAAACAGGTGGCAACCCTCCTACATATGTGTAATTAAAAAAAAGCCTTGTCAAAACCATTTCGATCGATACTCTTAGTGTAATAGGTGCTTTAACTTAAAAACAATTTGAATTAAATTTTTTTATCTGGTGGAAACTCTTTTTCAAAAAATAAGAACCTATTGCACATCTACAGGCCAAGCCCTTTAATTTGATAACTGATTTCGATCGAGATCTGATGATATGACTATAAAGCTTTCGCGTATTACCTATGCATACATATGTACCTACATATATATTAGCGTGGTCCAAAAACAGTAAAGTCGGAATTGTAATGCTCTCACCCCCTAGGANTAAAATCGAACTGACATTACAGATCTGATGATATGACTATAAAGCTTTCGCGTATTACCTATGCATACATATGTACCTACATATATATTAGGGTGGTCCAAAAACAGTAAAGTCGGAATTGTAATGCTCTCACCCCCTAGGATTGTTTTATATCGTAAAAAATATAACCCTATTTTTTTTTTTTGAAATCAAAAAATATTTAGAGGTCGCTCCATGCGCTCAGGGTCTTCCATGTATTTTTATATGGGGGAAAAACAACTTTTCGTAGAAATGGTATAGAATTCTTGAAAATCAATATTTTTCGATCGGAAAACTCTGGTTCTCTTCAGGAGACTCTCAATAATAATACCCAATTATTTATTTAACCATTTTTTAATACTAACCATTTTTATTTGTCCCCCCATTGCATATTTCGGGGTTTTTGTGGGTTTTTGGCGGACCTATAAATTGTAGTTGCGATAAAAAAATGGTTTAATAAACAATTGGATGTTATTATTGGGAATCTCCTGCAGATAAACAGAGTTTTCCGATAGAAAAATATTGATTCTTAAGAATTCTATACCATTTCTACGAAAAGTTGTTTTTTCCCAATATAAAATACATGGACAACTTTGGGCGCTTTGAGCGACCTCTAAATATTCTTTGATTTCAAAATAAAAAATAGGGATATATTTTTTCGGTATAGGACCATCCTAGGGGTGAGAGCATAAAAATTCCGACTTTACTTTTTCACATGCATTTTTGGCCCACCCTTATGTATATATATGGATGTACAATGTACATATCTATAACATGAATGTAGATACATATGTAGGTACGTACATAGGTACAAAATATGCTGCGATCAGCTTATACATATTTCCCCTCACCTGCGTAATCTGTTTTTGGTATCCTTTTGTCTCTTCCAGCACCTAACTGTTTTTACACATGTACCGCGATAATATTTCTACTGCTCTAAAGAACCCATATCCCGAAAATGAATGTTATATATACCAACCATAAGTTGCTAGAGCACTTTAAAGGCTCAAAATCGACCCCAAAATAAGCCAATATTTACCGTATTTTCTACGACAGACACCAAATCGGTTACTTGCATAAATGTATCTGTCGATAGGTTTGGAATTTTGTCTTTGAAACGGGCCACTCTTCTTTGAAATCGCTTCCCTACTTCTCGTGCAATAAGCGTTTTCGTGAAGCTCTAAAAATTACAACTACAACATTTGAACATAGCCTCCATATCGAAACGTAAGACGTATTCTATGTCAAAAATGGACCCCGCACCGTCTAGCTAAATTTTGTGTGGAGTTATTTCTTTCTATTTGAGTAATATACGTTCTAAATATGAAACATATCGGACTATAAATACGGGTTTTCCAAATATCTCGACTCCCGTGCCACCTATGGGGTAAATTTTTATACCCGAGCGCACTTGTGCACAAGGGTATATTAATTTTGTTCACATAACGGTCGTTTGTAACAGCCAAAACGAATCGAGATAGATATAGACAAATGTATACATAAATGCTCAGAATGAATAGAGAAATCGATTAAGCCATGTCTGTCTGTCCGTCCGTCCGTGTACACGATAACTCGAGCACAAATTGAGATCTCTCAACGAAATTTGGTATGTAGGTTTCCGTTAATCTAAGGTAGGTTGGTATTGAAAATGGGCGAAATCGGACTGTAACCACCAGAAATAAATAACCAGAATACGAAACTGCGATATTATAGTAACTACTGAAGATAATTCACTCAAAATTGATATTTA